TTTTACTCTCATAGATTTTGTTACCATTGCCATGCATTATACGACTGATAGACTGCAACGGTTAAAGTTAAAAATCATCATATGTGTTCTACTGAAGAAACAAAGTCACCTACATCTTGGATGCCCTGGGGGTAAGCAGATAAACATCACATTTTCATTTTTGGATGAACTATCCCTTTAAGAAACTGAGAATTCTCGAGAAAAAAGTCAGAATTTTGAGAAATATGACACAATTACCTTTCTTATTTTTTTATCCTGTGGCAGAAACAAGCTTCCAAATATATTCCATTAGTTTTCAGTCGCTCGATTGTCAGGTTTCTTTCATATTTCCAGCATATTGTTCCAGTGCAGTACTCAGAGCGCATCTGGCAGTATTTCTGCTCTCGACTCTGTAATTACGTGCCTGTGTTTCATTAATGAGTGCTGTGAAACTCAAGCAGCTGCACACGAGATCAGGCGAAAGCATGCTTGGCTGGGTCAGTGTCAGCACGTTTCCCTGCATACTACACTGGGATGAAGCGCTCAGCTTTTATCAGCACTGCATGCACAATTGTCCAGATCAGTCACTTATGAGGTTGCATTTCAGTTAGGATGCTGCCTATGCAGCTTGCTAGGATTTGGAAAATCCAATTGACCAATATATCTAGTATCAGAGTGGATTTGCACATATTTTCCTGAAAAATTAAGATAAAGAAAGGAAATCTCACCGATATGGCCTCCTTGAGTTCAGAGGCATCAAAGTGCGCAGGAGCCTTCAGCATGGCCAGCACCAAATCTTCAAAGTCTCCTTTCACCTCTGACTTCAGGTCGCTAACCAGATCCTGCAAAGCGTTTTAAATGCAAAGTCACACACGAGAAACCTCAACACAGTCACAAGTATTTGATGCTTCATTCCTCATATGTTCACCTTGCCGTAAGTGGTTTTATACGCCGCCTTCAACGGCACACGCTGCTTATTGGATCGAGTGCCGAGAAGCTCGATAATGGCGTTTTCATCAGTTCCTGCGAGCAAAACACATTCAGCTCTGTTTTTAAAGACATGTGAACGTATAGTATACAGACTTTTTTTGTGGTTCAAATAAATGAATAATTTCTTCTCACCGAAGCCCTTCATGGCTTTCCGTAACACCTCGACGTCTCTGAGAGGATCGGCGCCAGGAAAGTCCTTGATGGTTCCGCGGTAACCCTTCTAAACACGGAAAACATTAGTAATTAAACATGACTTTTTATTGAACATACATTAATACTTCTTGAGTTACAGGCCTGCAAATCTGAGGCAAAAAACACAAAAAGTGCTTTTTGTCATGTTTGAAATGTCACCGTTGGCATACAATGAAACAAAGATTGCTGAAGTCAACGGATATTACTAATAGAGCTACCAATCTCTGTGTAAAAATAATATAATGATGCTGCCAGCTTTCTGAAGTCATTTTTACACCCCCATAAACTGGCTCCAAATCTCAGGTAAAAACTCATTTTGACCCCCTCTACAAAATAGTGGATTACTCAGCAAATATACATCTGTGACATTTAATTTTTTTGGCTTTCATAACTATTGATGTTTGTTTTTCTACAGATAAAATATTAACAAAATCAAAAATCTAAGCCGAGGTAGTTTCTGAAATTTGACACAGAATGAAGCTTAAATATTTAGTAATTTGAGGTTTTCCATGACTGTGGCAAAACTAAAGCAAACAAAAGCCTGATGCGGCTGATGAAGCTGACAGTCTCTCACATTGACAGCAGGAGCGGCCGGTGGTGTCGGTCCGGTTGGGACGCCCCCTCCATACCCGGGCATTGACGGGTTCGGGGCACCTGGGAACGCTGGCATGGGCTGCTGTCCCGGCGCTGGGACCCCGGGGTACCCCTGAGGCATTCCTCCACCCGGCTGCACAGAGCACAGGACATTTATAACACGAGACACATGACGCATTTCACTTCAGACCTCAGAAGTAGAGCTTAATGGAACAACAGTTCAACCAAAATGCTGCAATGCATTTGGAAATACAGTACATAACTGATTGTGTACAATAAAAGAGGCAGAAATAAAGGGATTCTTACAGCTCCAAAGCCGGGTTGGCCGCCCCACCCACCTGTTAACAACACAAATAACTCAGTGCTACTGTATCACTACATACAACAATACAGACACAAAGCCATCAAAGCACTGCAACCAATCAATAAAAACACAAAGCATTATGCAACAACATGATTTTATTTTTATTATGCATGATGAATGAAAAACAGAAATTGATGCATTTAAAATGCAATGTAAAAAAAAAGAATAAAACCTTTAAGAGCCCTATGAAATCTATTTTATTTTTTCCTTTTTTTTCGTTGCAAAAATTAATAGTTTTGTTTGAATTTTTCTGTATTCTGTTTTAATGTTTTAATTAAATGTTAATGATCCAAAAGGATGTCTAAGCAATTGAATTCATAAAACTTTAACAATTTAATGATTTATTACAATTTTAACAATAATAGTGTCCTATGAATTGTTTTAAAAAATTCTGTGTTGTGTTTTAATTTTTCTAGATTCTGTGTATTATGATTTACTACAAATAATATGATCTAAAACGGTGGTAAACAAATAAATTAATAAAAATGAATAAATTAATAAAAAATTATTTAAATAAAAATGTAATTAATCTTTTAAAATTGTATCATTTCCTTTCATTTTTTAAATTTAAATTAAAACATGAATAAAAACAAATGTGTGATATTGGTTAAAAACAATGTTTTATTACTTTTATTACTTTGGGAAGTACAATCTACTGTACAGTAAATTTTTATGCCTGGATTCCATGATTCCACACTCTGGAAATTATATGGCCCTACATTTTCTGTTGCTGTTTTATCAGCATGCAAACAGATTGTCAAATTAGAATGTGGTCTTATTAATATATATAATATATATATTGAATTTGAAGTTCATCAGCTCCTGTTAATGATGCATCATTTTTTTAATATATATAATTTGGAAAATAATGCATCAAACTGAGTTATTTTTAATTGCCAAAAACATCCCATTAATGCTCTGAGGTCAGCTGTGCAGCTCATAAATAACATCAGAGCATCCAGCTGTAGGATCCCATGATGCTCCTGCATGCAGAGCTCAGACTAACCGGACTGGCCTGCAGGGGGCATGTTGGGGTAGGTCCCGGGTTGGGCGGCGGGGTAACCTCCTGCCTGTGGCGGAAAGCCTCCTCCTGGGGCTGCTGGGTAACCGCCGGCCTGGGGTGGGTATCCTGCTCCGGGGGGATACGCTCCAGGCTGAGGAGGGTAGTATCCGCCCTGGGGTGGATAGGCTCCCGGTTGGGGCGGGTATCCGCCTGGGGCCTGCTGATACGGGCCGGAGGCGGGAGGGTAACTTCCACCTGCAGGAGGGTATCCGGGGTAACTCATCTCTGACACCTGCACACATCAGGACATTTACATGCAGCAACATGAAGTCAAATGAAGATCACTGCCATTATAATTAACACATCAATCATCAGCAGCAACTCATATGTGATACATGATGTCGATAAATACAATAAGACACCTGGCAAAACTCGTGGCAGTGCAGCTGAAAATGATTTGTCATTTTATGACATTCACGTTATGTTAATTACTGTTTACATCTGCATGATAAAGTCTGCTGCAGATATGCATGATTCAAAAGTTCAGATGTGATTAATATTTCTTATCGCTGAATCTCTAGTGTCCAGAACAATTGTCTTTGTTTAATTTGTTCACTTTGACATCCCCAAAAAACGGTTTGTATTTTGTAAAACACAACTTTTAAGAGTGTTTTTCCTTCCAAAAAATGTCATGGTTTATCATGAATAATGTAGGATAGTCAAACGAACAAATGACAATACATGCAATTAATCAAAGATCTGCTCTCTCTGTTTATATATATATATATATATACACAATATATGAATACCAAGATTTTTAAATCTATTTAGATCTTAATTTTTTTTATCACTCATTATTGTACCTGATTTGCAGCAATTGCACATTTTTGTCTGTTTACACAAAAACTGCTGTAGCTTATGCACATAGTTCTGCCATAATACATTTAATTATTTAAAAATATATTTATGTTTAATATGTTGCTAAATACATAATATTAAATTTTTCAAATAAATAAAAAATGTTTAAAATAAAAATAAATGTATTTATTTACTTTTATGACCATTTTTACAGCAGGGAGGCACATTTTATTAATTTATTTCGATTATAGCTGTTCATTTTTTTATCCCTCATTGTTGTACAGCGATTTGCATTTTTGTTTTACACAAATCTCATTTATCTTTTGCATTATTTATATATTTATTTAATCTGCTGCACTAAATATTAAAAAAACATAGCATCATATAATTATTTTTAGTGCTCTTTACCCTGTAGGTATTATTAATTTGTTTTTATGACATTTTTAACAGTGCTTAGAGTCCTATTTTTATAATCTTGCAGTGTATATACCACTGACCAAACAATACGTGTGTGTGTGTGTGTGTGTGTGTGTGTGTGTGTGTATCATGCGGAAGGTTTATCAGGCGTGTTCTTCTGCTTATATAGGCTATAGGTTAACAGAAGACTAAATGTGATAAGTTTGAACTTTGAGATCAGATTTACATTTACAGTACATCTCTCAATCATCACTGGATTGCATTGCATTATATGTTCTGATCATTTAAATCTCATCTTACTGAGATATATATATATATATATATATACAAACACACACACTCTCTCTAAAGGTTCAATAAACGGTTAAAAAAAAACTAACAAAAAAAATTCATTATTTCATGTCAGGGTTAAAACACCTTCCTCTATTTGCATCTTTAAATAAACTGATAAACCCAAGAAGTTCACAAACTTTTTCCGACAAAGATATTCAGATATAAAGTGCCATAACTTTTCCAGTCGTTTGCAATTTTTAAAAACATCACATCAAACTTACAAATCATTTCTAGCTGGATATAAATAAATAAATAAAAATATTTACCATAGGAATTTCAATGACTTTTCCAGAACACACTATTAAAACTCACTTATATTTCCAGATTTTCCAAGACCACAGAAACCCATTTTGTATAATTGTGTATTATTTAATACGGCTCTTTTTTAATCTCGTTACAGAATCTGTATTTTTAGTTTAACTCAGACTGTGCAAGTCAATTTGGGAAGAGTTTGTTTACTAATTCATACAGGTTTGGATCAACTTGAGGGAGAGTAAAAGATGACCGAAGTCTCATTTTTGGGTGAACTGTCCCTTTAAGGGTTCACTAACTTTCTAGCGTGACTGTATGCTGCTAGTAAGCATTTGGTTGAAGCATCCCGCGTGTTAGTGGTTAAACCTGTGCTTTACAGGACAGAAATCAGCGCACTGCAGCACAGCTCGTGTCTAAACGTACTGAAACACTCACAGGCCGACAGTCGCATACATACTACATACTACATACTACAGTGCGCACTTCGGCATCGCTCTAGGAAAAATGGCAGACGAGGATTTCGGATTACACGACACGACACACCCAAACCATCTGAAACACACCTCTGAATCAGGAAACATTTGTAACATTCGGCATTGCTTTGCTAAGAATTGCTTTGCTTTCCACGCAGATTCATGCACAAAACGTTACATTGTGACACTATCAAGAGCGCGCTGGAAACGCAACAAACGCGCGGTATATTGACGTTTTAACGCAGTAAAAAGAGTGTAAATGCTAAACTTACTGGGATGTGTGTGATGCGCTGATTGGAGCTCGTGAGTTTGGACTGAATGAGGAAGTGGAGGGCGGTGTGTCTCTGTGGGTGGGACCCGATCCTGCCTTTACATCCTAAACAAAACACAGCCCTGAAATTACGTGTTTGTGTAACCCTTTCATGCATGAATTATTAAATCACAAAGTCATATTTTTTTATATGTTTGTTTTTCCTTTTTTAAGCAAGTGAAAAATCATGCCATTATAATATGCCAAAGCCATTTCTGTTTTGATATAACTTGAACTGAATATCATGTGTAATGTTTTGTTGATTTATGTCGCACGTTAGCAGAAAAAAGGTCTAACAATCTAATAACAATTAGATTAATAACAATTACCCCTCTACCTTCAGGCAGACGCCTGAGAGCTATTAAAACTAAGTCTACACATTTTCTGAATAGCACTTATTGTAAGACTGTTCATGCTCTTAATTCCTCTAGTACTTGTGCATCTGTATTTCACTCCCTGTAATTGATAGAACACATATGTATAGATTTATTTATGTATGTGAATGCATTTATGTACGTATGTATTTCAATGCCTACTTGTTTTTAGTTTTAATTACTAATAAGTAATCCAAAAGTTGCTACTTTTAGTCTGTAGCAGTCCTATTTCACAGCTAACAGAAATATGTTCTAAGAATATTTTGCAAACGTTCCCATATTATGAAAAACACTTTTAAGTTAAAAACGTCAAATTTTTGTAAATGTTTTTTTTTTCTTTGTTATACAGACGTTAACGTTCCAGTTTATCATTTTGCAAACATTATGGGAACGTCATTTGGAATGTTCTCTGAACGTTCTGAAACATAGTAACATTCAAAAACTTCAGACAACCTTCTAACCAAAAAGTTTAGGGAAAAAGTTCCATGAACAACGTATAAATTATGTTTCTGTGCTCACTTTTTGAGAACATTGTTAAAGACCAGATCACTTTAAGCAAACGTTCTATTAACATTAATGGAATAATGTTAGTTCATGACTTTGAGAGAATCTTGCAAGAAATTCTGAGTAGTTTGCTGTGTTATGCCTTTGTATCAACTTCCCAAATAGTGAAAAGCAACTCTTTCAATCAGTTTTTGTAAGGATGACAGACATCTGAACATATTATAGCCTAATATTTGTATACCTCATGGACAACTTTTTTACATTTGGGTTTAATGAGTGCAAAAACTGGTTTGTGTGGCAAATCTATATCATATAAAATAAGAGACAAAAGCCTCTTCATAGACAGTTCATCACTAATACTGACCATGACATTGAATTTGAAAGAACGTGGCTGTTGTCCAACCCAGACAAACAAATAAAGCATTTGCATGAAAACGACTCTTCTCTTCCTCATGTGTCAGGTGACTCACGTCTTTCCCGACCTCTCACTCATTCAGGTGAGCATGTATAGCAATAAAAGAGTCTTATGGGTTTGGCTTCAGAAGCCCGTGAGCAGCAGTGGAAAAAACTGGTCATGTTTACGTCAGGTGCGTCCAGATAAGGGAGGGAAACACCATTTCTAAGAATTTCCAAGGCTTGCCCTGAGCTTTACAAAACTCCACCATGTTTAAAACCATAATAAATCACATTTTAGAACTACTTTAATTCCTCCGTGTTTCTTACAATATGAAATCATATTTATGTTATTAATGTGTAATGTAAATATGAAACAAGCTGTTCAGGGAAAGTAAAAACACACACCAAAAGACACACCCACAGACACACACAGAGACAAAGGGAGTTTCATCTAGTTTCACGTTTCACAGAGTTCAGCAGCTTTGCTTTCAACAGCCTGTAATAGATTGACACGAACAGCAGAGGGCAGAGTCTACACCTGATCACATTGAGTCAGGCTCGGATTTTTATTTCAATGATTTCAAAATCATTTAAATTAGTCACTTTGCAACTTCAGGGATCTTATCTATGCACAATCAGCTTGTAACACTCCAAAGAGAAAGGAAAACTTGAAATCGCATCATATGACCCCTTTAATGATATCTCCGTAAAATGTGAAAGGGTCTCAGCTCATAAATATTAATTAGTTCGTGTTGACGCGCTTTGGAATCCTCGAAATGGGCAAGTGCATGTTTTTGAATATTAATTATAATATGATGACGTTTCTTGGTAACCTTCCAATGGCGACTCCACAGCTTATGAATATACATGAGCCGTCCGTCCAGCGCAGCAGGATTGGTAACTTGCGCTGAATATGTGGCTTAACTTTCCTCCCCAGAGCTGCATGAACTGTCCCGGTTTATTCCGCAACAATGGGTTCAGTGTGAGCCGGTAACAGTGCCAGAGCCTGGCACACATCGACAAACAGCTGGATTTATCCATAAGGAAAATGAGTTTGGTTTCGGCTCTGGACGCGGTTTATCAGCCCGCACAGCTTTTGAACTGGGTCTATCTGTCCCTCCAGGAGTTTGAGTCTGATGAGAAATACAGCAGCAAACCAAAGGAGGATCTGGACTCCAGCATCAGCATCAGAAGCAGCAGCAGCTTCATTCAGGAGCGCACAGAGGTGATGATCTATCTATCTATCTGTCTATCTATCTATCTATCTATCTTTTCAAATATACTTTTTAATATAAATTTTAAATAGTTAAAAAATGGACACTTTTTATTCCATTTGTTTTTGTAATGTTCATTTTAAAGGGATAGTTCACCCAAAAATGAAAATTCTACTCACCCTCATGTCATTCCAAACCTGTGAGACCTTTGTTCATCTTCGGAACACAAATGAAGATATTTTTGATGAAATACGAGAGCTTTCTGACCCTGCATAGACAGCAACACAACTGAAACATTCAAGGCCCAGAAAGGTATGAGGAAATCGTTAAAATATTCCACGTGACATCAGTGCTTCAACCGTAATGTTATGAAGCTACGAGAATACTTTTTGTGCGCAAAGAAAACAAACATGGCAACTTTATTCAACAATTTCTTCTCTTCCGGGTCAGTCTCCGCTGCGCATTATAGTTACAGGAATATATTCTAGTCCTGCAGAATTGGATGCATTAGAAAAACATGCACAAAACTTCTGCCTTCGTCCACAGATACATTCACACTGCTTTCCCTGAATCATTTAGAGTGGCTGTAGGTGATAAACAGCGGGAGTTCTGGGTTAACAAGCACACTTTGTTACTGTAGAGCTCTATCATGTGTATTTGTGCAGAGAAATGTGTGCTCGTTTTATGAGCCAAGTTTTATGTGTGTATTGATGAATTACCACTTACTTTGGCTTTAGAAAGCACAAATAAACCAGACTGAATGAAAAGCAGTTTTTGCTGAAGAGATTTGAAGCTTTAGTGGTTTGGCTCCACGTAAGCAATGTGGAAAAGTTCAGCATTTTTATTATAGGTGCATAAAATCAATGTTCTGGAAAAGAATTTACAGAGATATGAGATACAATGAATGTATATCACTGATGCATGTGAGAATTACACACACACATAATGTTGCATACTACTTTTACATAATGCAAACATACCTTTAAATGTTTGTCATTGCATATTGCATGCTATTAACTATGTCGTTTTTTAATAGTGTACAGTATATACTGCTTAATATATATAGGCAGTTTGCTAGCAATATTTCATTCCGAACAGCATGGACAATCTCATGAGAAAGAATGAGGGAAAGGGTTCGGAGAATCATGTGGGAAAGTCTGTCTTCCTGAGGAAAACATTCTCTCTCACGCAGATCATCTGCTGAAAGGAAATCAGACCACAGAAAAACTATTATAAACAAGCAAAAACATAAATGTATACACAGAGGGAATCACTGGCAGTTTAAAGGGAGATTGTTGTGACAGATTTTTTAATATCAACAAACAACCGTCTGATTCTGAGCATGTTAAGTTTTAAGTTTAATGCTTGGTCTATCTGTCTAAACAAGCAATACTTTACAGTGACTTTACAGTATACTGACACCTACTGGCAGTTTGGAAAAAATACTTTTTAACGGAACTTTTAAACTAAAAATGACCTTACCAACTGAGGGCATGTTAAATAATCTGAACTTTAAAAATATAAAAAGAAATTAAGAAAATTAAACATTCTTAATATTAAAAACTAAAACTATAAAGAAATTCTGTTACTAAAAAAAATATACATTAATTGAAATAAAAAATGTTTTTAAAAAATATTTTACTTCAGCTAGTTTCCAGACAATTCTCATTTTTGTTTAGTTGAACTTGACGTAGTAAAATAACAAAAACAAATAAAAATGACAAAAAATACATTAAGATTAAAGTGAAAAAAGAAAATATACAAATAGTATATATATAGTAACAAAAACTACATCGTGATAGTAAAAATAACACTGATTCAAGGTATGCTTTTTTCAATTCATGCATTCCCTGGGAATCAAACCCATAACCTTGTGACCATATATTATATTTCATATATAATTTATATATGATAATGCTTATTATATTCTTTTAAAAATCTTTAAAAAAAATCATATTCAAAATATTAACAAAAGCTATAATATGAAATAAATGATTCTGATTCAAGGTTTATGTTTTATCAGTTCATGCATTTCCTGGGAATTGAACCCATGACCTTGTGACCATATATTATATCTCATATATCATTTAAATATGATAATGCTTATTAATTACATTGAAAACTTCGTAAAAGTTTCATGTGTTTTTTTCTCTGTACAGACTCTGTGTAGCTGCTTATATAAGGGCTCGTCTCCCTATGGCTCGTTAAGCAACATTGTCGAAGGTCTGAGTTTGCTGACGGACAGCTTCTCTGACCTCTTGCTGACCTCTGAACCCAGAAAGCCATGCAGGAAACCTCCACCCAACTACCTGTGCCACCTGTGCTTCAATAAGGGCCACTACATCAAAGACTGTCCGCAGGTAAACACTCACTGCTGCGCACCTGAGCTCAGCTACAACCTGCTTATCTAAACCTGTCAATCACAATGCACTGATATTGTTTTTATTAGACACATTATATACATAGTTCTACATATTATAGAACTGAGCTGAAGCTCTGCTCACTGATGGTTGAACCGCATTGCATCCACCTAGCAACACCCTCGCAAACACCTAGCAGCCATCCAGAACCCCCTAGCAATTGCATAGCAACTACCTAGCAACACCCTATAAACCACCCAGAACAGCCTAGCAACTCTATAGCAACTACCTAGCAACACCCTAGCAACCACCCAGAACAGACTAGCAACACCCTAGCAACCACCCAGAACAGCCTAGCAACACCCTAGCGACCACCCAGAATACCCTAGCATAGCAAAACCCTAAAAGCCACCCAGAACACCCTAGCAACTGTATAGCAATACTCTAGTAACCACTCAGAATACCCTAGCAACTGCATAGCAACCACCCTGGTGACTGCAAAGCAACACCCTAGCAGCCACCTAACAACCAATTAGAACACCCTAGCAACCTCCTAGAAACCACCCGGAACACCCTAGCAACTGCATAGTAATACTTTATCAACCACTCAGAGTACCCTAGCAACCACAAAGCAACCACCCAGCCAACTGCATAGCAACACCCTAGCAACCACTTAACAACCACCCAGAACACCCAAGCAACTGCATAACAACACCCTAGCAGCAACCCAGAGCACCATAGGAACCAGTTCTATGATACCAATAGTGTGATTATCTGACCGTCTTTTACTGTAACTGACCTGCATTACAAAATTGTACATACAATTCATTGTAGCAAGCACCACACCCGTATGTGGAGCCATAATGAGCGCCAGATGAACCTTCTGTGTTTATGAAAGATAATCCTGTTTCTTGCCTGTCATGACATCATTGGCTGTCATAGATGAGAAAAAGCCCCCTCGACATCAGTCAGCAGTTCGTCAGCTACAGAAACGGAGGGAAAAACCTTTTATAGAAAGATGAAATGATTTCGATCTTTGCCCTCCACTAAATTTACTGTCACAGCATTTTAATCAGTCTCAGGTGACATGAGAGAAAAGATGATAACAAGAGAAGAAAAGGGGAAGGACGCTCTTCCGACAGCAGTTTAAATATGTGCGCGCAAAGCAGATGGATCTGGATCTGGATCTGAGTCTGTCTAGACATTACCTTTGTTTAATTGAGTCGCATGACGATTCCTGCTTTAAATCTAGACAATTAGATTGTGTTCCTAAAGAGCTCAAAACACACTTGTTGTCACTTTTATTTCAAGACATACGGAAAGAACTTCAGAACAGTTTCTCACTGGAGTTTCAGAGATTCATGACATTAAATATATTATTATAAAAGGTATAAGAGTTTGGATTGAGACAAGAAAATGAGTAGAACTGCATATTCTGCACGCATTTTAGCTATTTCTTTGTGTTTTTCTGCAACACTCTAGCAACCATCCAGAACCCCCTAGCAACACCCTAGCAACCACCTAGAACAGCCTAGCAACTGTATAGCAACACCCTAGCAACCACATAGCATGCACTCTGGCAGCTGTATATTAGCAACACCTTAGCAACCACCCAGAACAGACTAGCAACTGTATAGTAACACCCTAGCAACCACATAGCAAGCAGTCTGGCAACTGCATATTAGCAACACCCTAGCAACCACCCACAACAGCCTAGCAACTGCATAGCAACACCCTAGCAACCACATAGCAAGCACTCTGGCAACTGTATATTAGCAACACCCTAGCAACCACCCAGAACACCCTAGCAACTGCACAGCAACACCCTAGCAACCACATCGCTAAGTCAGCAGTTGATGACGCAAAACATCACAAACTTTATCGATGTAACTAAACAACCATCTGTAATGACACATCTGCTCTGATTTTATATAATACATATATTTATATCTATAAAGAGTCGCTATCACAGATCCCTCTGATCTTTCACCATCTGTGTTCAGATGAGATCTTCTGACACTAATAGGACACAGAATCTCTCATTATGTCGGTGTGTCCACCGCACACATCTCTGCTCCAGGAGTACGTGGGAATTCATCCAGACGTTTTGTTGTTTTTGTTTTGCCTGCCCACCTGTCAGCGTCTGTCTCACTGAAACCCAACACTGGATCACAGCTGGACACGTCTGGCCAAGCCGCCACAAAAACTCCTTATGTCAGTTTTGCACAGTGCTTTTAACATTTAAACATGCAATAAAATATGGTGCACATACAATGCAATCTGGACCCAACATTACAATTTTACTATATATGGCTATTGAACTGTACCTTGCAATTAAAAAAAAAATTACATAAAAAATGTATTAAAGCTGCAGTCCGTAACTTTTGGCGCTCTAGCGGTTAATAAACAGAACTGCATGTGTCTTGTGGAAGAGCATTGTAGCCGTAGCTACTTCTCTCTGTTTATGTCTGTGAAGAGTCACGCAGGTACTAGGCTACTCCGCAGCAGTGCCGACCCAAACCAGTCTAAAATAGTCTGAATATAAACACTTATTATAGGTGTACTGTAGTGATTCAGGATAAGACAAAAGCACAGTTTGGAAAATGGATTCATGATGTACTCGCTTATTATATACATTTTGTACATTTTGAACAAAAAAGAAAAAAAAAAATGTTACGGACTGCAGCTTTAAATTAAATTAAATTATTAAATTAAACTTTATTAAATATATTACATTAAATTAAATTTATTAAATTAAAATGTATTTTATATGTTGTTATTAGTTTATATATATATATATACACAGGTGCATCTCAATAAATTAGAATGTCATGGAAAAGTTCATTTATTTCAGTAATTCAACTCAAATTGTGAAACTCGTGTATTAAATAAATTCAATGCACACAGACTGAAGTAGTTTAAGTCTTTGGTTCTTTTAATTGTGATGATTTTGGCTGACATTTAACAAAAACCCACCAATTCACTATCTCAACAAATTAGAATACTTCATAAGACCAATAAAAAAATTTGAGTTGAATTACTGAAATAAATGAACTTTTCCACGACATTCTAATTTATTGAGATGCACCTGTATATATATATCCTAATTTTTGTGTCATTTATTTTTATGGCTTGATGGACAAATATTAATTTTAAAAAAGTACCAAAAAAATCCAACATCCTTAAAGCAAGCTTTCATTAGTTGATGGTCTGTTTTCGTCACTGATTTGGATAGTTTGAGGTTCAAATAATCACTTACAGTTCAACTGTGTAACCGTCTAACTGGTGAGTAGCTTTTTATTTACTTGCCAGTTTTACTTGGCAAGTGTTGGTTTTGGACCCTGAATACAGTACTGACACAGTTCTGCTCCTCATTAAAGTAATGAGTCAGACATATACTCTCTCGTGACCTTCCGCAGTATGTTATATATTAGCAGTAATCCTATAAACCAGTATCTTCTTTCCCCATAAAGTGATCAAATATATCAAAAGTCAAAATTCAATTAGAAACATATTTCACAGAAGTATGGGAACACAAACACTTCTAGCTACACATGCTCAGTTTTGATAGTTTGAATGTTTTACTGAGCAAGTTATTTAGACATGTAGCTAGAAATGTGAATAGCATCTGCATCTGGTTTAATGGCACAGACATTTGAAGGTTTATATAGTAAGAGAAAACTGAGTCATGAGTACTATAATACAAGAATGCATGTTAATGGTGTTCAATGGGATATGCATCTGCGTTTGTTCACGTGTGTGAAGTATGTTTCTGTTTAACTGATCTCATTAAAGAATCTGAACATCCATTAGACTTCTGGGTGTAACCATATCTAGAGACCAGAATATAAGAGACTTTTAAGTGGGTTCTGTTGACTTGAGCTAGTAAGCAACCACATAACAACATACTAGCAGCCAATCAAATCTCCATAGCACTGATTTTTGTACAGTGAGTGTCAATGTGAGAGTGTTAAAGGAATAGTTCACCCAAAAATGAAAATGTGCTGAAAATGTGCTCACTCTCAGGTCATCCAAGACGTAGATGAGTTTGTTTCTTCATCAGGTTTGGAGAAATGTAGCACTGCATCAGTGTCTCAGCAATGGATGCTCTGCAGTGAATGGGTGCCGTCAGAATGAGAGTCCAAACAGCTGATAAAAACATCACAATAATCCACAAGTAATCCACAGCACTCCAGTCCATCAGTTAACATCTGGAGAAGACAAAAGCTGAAACAAATCCAGCATTAAGACATTTTTAACTAAAATACGAATCTAATCCATAATAACGCTTCCTCCAGTGAAAAAGTGTTCTGGTGTGAATCAGTGGACAAATCTGCACAGATCAAGCAGCGTTTAAACAGCTCTAAACAAATATGTGGCTGGATTTTGATGTGAGAGTCAACAGGAGCTTTATTATGGATTATGGATTGGTATTTTAGTTAAAAACATCTTAATGCTGGATTTGTTTCAGCTTTTGTCTTCTCCAGATGTTAACTGATGGACTGGAGTGCTGTGGATTATTGTGATGTTTTTATCAGCTGTTCGGACTCTCATTCTGACGGCACCCATTCACTGCAAACTCATCTATATCTTGGGTACATTTTCAGCAAATTTTCATTTTTGGTTGAACTATTTCTTTAACAGATTGTCACAGAGTTTGCTCTCTTTTATTCAGTTAAACCACTGATAATGTAAAACATCATCTGTGTAGGGAAACCCACAGAAATGTGAATATAATCCAGAACACAGAGAATGTAAATCTGTCATGCTGTGGGATGGACAGGAATGACATTAGTGGGTGTTTGAAAGAGACGTTACTGTACTACAGATACTGTCAGACATCCAACACCATAAAAATATCATAACAGTCCATACAACTCATGCCTTAACAAAATATCTTAATTAATTAAAAATATATATTTTAATGTCAGGGTTTAACCACTGTAGTACCTGCAGTGCAATTATAAAAACAGCAATGTTTAAGAGCATATAAAAATATATAACTCCATATATAATGCATGCACTCACACTTTGGCATTATTGTAAGGTTGGGACACTGCCATCAGTGTGGTGTGTAGATTTAATTTATTGCATGTAGAGCAAAGGTTGGCTGCGGAAATGTTGGTTTTTGGACATATTAAAGGTTTAAAAAGTGTTATTGAAGAATACAGCCAGACAAAAGGGATCTCACAATAACTGTTAATTTATAAAGCGTGCCTAAAATTTTTTACTTGGAGGAATAATAATATTTCTCCTTCACTGTTCAAGCAGAGTAATAGTATTTAATGTAATGTTTTACTAAAGTGTCAACGTTGTCTCAGATGTTTCTGTTAAAAATTCCTAAGGAAAAATTAAAACAGACACAAATAAGATTTCTTTTAAAAACTTAGAAATACACTAGCGTTCAAAAGGTGGTTGGTACGATTTTTTAATGCCTTCAAAAGAAGACTCACCAAGGCTGCATTTACTTGATCAAAAATACAGTAAAAACAGTAATATTGTGAAATATTATTACCATTTCAAATAGCTGTTTTCTATGTGAATATCTGTTAAACTGTAATTTATTTCTGTGATGCGCAGCTGTATTTTCAGCATCATTACTCCAGTCTTCAGTGTCACATGATCTTCAGAGATCATGCTAATATGCTGATTTGCTGCTCAAGAAACATTTCTGATTATTATCAATGATGAAAACAGTTGTGCTGCCCAATATTTTTGTGGATACTGTGATGCATTTTATTTCTCAGGATTCACAGATGATTAGAAAGTTAAAAAGAACAGCATTTATTTGAAATATAATATTTTGTAACATTATAAACATCTTTACTGACACTTTTGATCAATTTAATGCATCCTTGATGAATAATAGTATTAAAATCTTACTTTACTAAGTGTACAGTCTCTGAATTACTAGTCCTTGTGAGTGTAGCTCAGTAAAGTTAAACTCACTCGTCTAAAACAGCATGTTCATGCTCCTCAGTGTCTTTAATGAGAGGTGTGCCGTGGACAGTATTTGATGGGGTTTGAAAAGGGCTTTTGGGAAATCTTAAACTGACACTTAAACATATGGCTCTGAATTACAGGTACTGTGTCAGATTTCCATCGGAGCCACTCCCAGAGTGCATTGCAACACGTTTAAGAAATGCATTATGGGATGTTTTATGCTCATATAATATGAGCCACACCTACTTACAAAAACATAGTATATGTATTTTAAAATTTGCTTAAGAAAATAAACAAAAGTGGTTTTTAAGCATGTTGTGGCAAACATTTGCAATTACTTCTTTATTGCCGGCATCGACTACAATGATTTTAGCATCTAAAATTAGTATGCTACACCACTAGTAATGATGGTCTAAACAAATGAAAACGATGACAGATTTGCTTCTCCTCTTAGAAAACGTTCTTGCATTATTAGTGTCCTGAAACATCACTACAGATGTCTCTACTGCACCGCTGCCAACGCAAACAGAGCAGAGCGAAGACATTTGGGTCTGTTATGGAGGAATAATTGCGCACATGTTCTCCGCTGGATCTCACGAGAGCCGTGGCTCGGCATTGTTCACTCTGATGGGCTCCAGATGGAGGAGAGCCAGTGACGGCCAATCCGCACGCAGAGAAGCTCCGCTGTGGAACTCTGGGAAAATGAGTCCTTGGGTGAGATTGAGGGCGTTTGCAGAGAAACTGTGAGCAAGGACAGAGGATATGATTACAGTGCAAGGCTGCATTAATAATCCTAAAGCACATGTCCTCAAGTTGTGTTCTAAAGTATTCAACTAATGAAAATAATTCAGACTTTGTTTTGTTGGCAATTTCAGTCTTAAAATCTTGCATAGATTGAAAACTAACCAACAATGACATCAATGCAATATTTCCTCACTGAATTGCAGCTGGTCTGTTTTATCAGTACAGCTGCTTTAAAACATTTAAAACACTTGTTGATTGTAAGATTTTTGTGAAAGAAATGTATATTTTATTCAGCAAGGATGCATTCAATTGATCAAAAGTGTCAGTAAAGACATTTATAATGTTATAAAAGATTCAAAAAATGCTGTTCTTTTGAACTTTCTATTAATCTGTGAATCCTCGTAAACAGACACTCACTCTCGTCTGTATTACAGCCTGTGTGTGTGTGTGTGTGTGTGTGTGTGTGTGTGTGTGTGAGAGAGAGTGTGTGTGTGTGTGAGAGAGAGAGTGGATGAATTAAACACTTCGGGACCTCCGTCAAACAAATCCAAACAATCAGTGATTTCAGTCTGAACCAGACCTGTGTGTGTTTGTGTGTGAAAGAGTAAAATGACTGGAGAAGATGACAGTTTACTGTACACTGATATCCACTGCAGCGCCTCCTGTGGCGACACTGAGAATCTTACATGCTACATTTTGAATTCCACGAGACAGTTCAGAATGTTATTTTGATGTTACATTAAACATTGCAATGCAACAAAACTGTAACAATGTAACAGTTTACTGTTATTTGTTTGACAAATGCAGTGCTGTAGTTCCAGAAAACATTATTAAATGAAACTAAAAACCTCACATATATGACAAAAATACAGGAAACATTATTAGAATTTAAACTAGCTGTTTTCTATGTGAATATCTGTTAAACTCGAATTTATTCCTGTGACGTAAAGCTGAATTTTCAGCATCATTACTCCAGTCTTCAGTGTCACATGATCTTCAGAAATCATTCTAATATGATGATTTGCTGCTCAAGAAACATTTCTGATTATTATCAATGTTGAAAACAGTTGTGCTGCACAATATTTTTGTGGAAACTGTGATGCATTTTATTTTTCAGGATTCACAGATGAATAGAAGTTCAAAAGAACATGATGAAATATACTGTAACATTATAAGCATCTTTACTGTCACTTTTGATCAGTTTAATGCAATTAAAATTATCATAAAAAAATGAATGAATTAATCTTACCGACCCCAATCTTTTGAATGGTAGTGTTTACAATGGTGCTGAACTGTCTTCTGTTTGCATGATTCTTGTCTACTGATGAACTAGAAATGGTTTTCTCACCAGGCTCGTCCTAAAGGAGAGGGTCTGACGCCGTATCAGGGGAAGAAGAGGTGTTTCGGCGAGTACAAGTGTCCCAAATGCAAGAGGAAGTGGATGAGTGGAAACTCTTGGGCGAACATGGGTCAGGAGTGCATCAAATGCCACATCAACGTCTATCCTCACAAACAGGTGAACAGGTGTTTAGATCTGCTTTTACACTTACAACATCTGAACATCCTTAAAAACATTGATATTCTATTATAGTTTGTGTTTATATTTTGAATTTGATTTTTTTTTCCCACTTTAATTTTAGTCATTTTGCTTTGTGTAATTTTGTGTTTGTCCTTTTTTAAATATGCATATACTTTATATATACTGTACATACATATATATATATATATATATATATATATATATATATAATTTTATAATAACATTTTTTCCCTGGTTTTAGCATTAGTTAAGTATAATTAACTAGAAAACGATATTTCGATTTTATTTTTATTTCTTTTTTGTTTTTACCTTAATTTTATTCGTTTTATTTATTTTAGTACATCAAGTTTCCTTGGCAACTAGCTGAAATATTTTATTTTTCAGTTAGCGTTTATTTTATTTCGAAGTAACAAAAATATATATTTTTTATGGTTTTATTTTTATTAACTGCCTTGAAAACAAGATACTTTAGCAAAACTGAGATTTAACAATTCAGTTATTGTTTACTCCACTGGCAAACTATTTAAAGTGTAAATCTAACAAAAAGTTTCAGTTGTTCAACTGTGAAATTTTTTCTTTCTCAAGTAAACGTTTCTTGCTTTGAGGACGTTTAGATATTTTCACGGGAAAGCAAGACAAAGACACTGATTTCTGATTCCTGTGCTTTGTTTTCCGTCCTATTCGTATCACTGCCAAAGCCTCAGGAGCCTGAAGGGCCTTGGTCACTTAAAGCATCTGTACAAAAGAACATCTAAACGCATCTAAACCAAGTGGAAACAGCTCAAGCTGGAGAGCATCTGTTAGTTATTAACTCGAGCAAGAGAACTGGACGGTTCTCCACTCAAGAAAAGACTGGGAGATGCAATAGTGTTCTTTTGGCTCAAGATAAAGCTGCTTTGCTGTTTGTTTGGCAGCTTAGGAAGTTCTGAACCTGATGAAGTTGGATCTGCTCCTGTCTCTTTTTCCTTTCACCTTCACCACATGTTCTTCTGTATTGTGAATGTTGCTTTTAAGACGGACACTCTTTGACTTCTTTCCTCTGGTTGTCAGCGTCCTCTGGAGAAACCTGACGGTCTGGACGTATCGGACCAGAGCAAAGAACATCCTCAGCATCTGTGTGAGAAGTGTAAGGTGCTCGGATACTACTGCCGTCGAGTTCAGTGACCTCTGACCTCCACAGAAGCCCGTCACGCCCTCATCGCCTCGCTTTAGTTTGACAGTATTCACTGATTCCTGACTGATTTAAAGCAGTGCTCCGGGTAAACATGACGGAAATGTTGTCAGCAGTGTTTATGCATGTTGATTACCACAGAAAATTACTTTTTGAATAATAAATTTGTGGTTGTTAAAGGAAACGATGCAATGGAATTAAAACTCATATGTTCACATGAAACATTTTTATGATAAAATCACTTACTGACCTTGATTGATCTTGTTCAGTGCATGACTGTGTAAAATAATAAATAAATGATTTTTTTTTTTTTATTATTATTTTCTGTGGTAATAAACATTATGCCACAGTATATATATATATATATATATATATATATATACACGTACATTCAGAGTATAAATGATCTCTCTGAATGGTGTAAGTACTGAATATTTGATGTCAGGTTAGTTGCTGTGAATTCACATGTGAAATATGCCTCTAAAGCATTTAATAAACACATTTCAGGGCAATAATTTACAGGCAGGGCATCAAAATGAATTTGATGTGAAACTCTGGACTGCAGTGGCTCATTCCTGTTCTTCAGAACCCATTTAAAAATAAAATACTGGATATTTACACAATAATGAGATGAAATGATATTCAAAGCACAAAACCTCACAGAATCCACTGATAATCAAACACTTACTGACGTTTGTGCCGCTGATTTCCCTCCAAAATGATGTCACTTCCTGTGGGGTGATGTCATCAAGGAAATGGATTTTGTGAAAGTGATTTTGCAAACAACTAACAGGACACAGGAAAAAAGCTATAGCTTGATTATTAATTAAAATAATATTGTTGTGATTAAAACGTTTTGAGTAGAAAAAGAAAAATTTGTCATTTTTGTTTTTTTTTACGATTTAAAATTCACCCAATCATGATTTAATTTGAATTACCGTGATCAGTGTAAACTACTATGATTTGCATTTTTAAATTGTGATTTTCCAGCATATATGCTCATGACCTGATCAGCCTTCTGCATATTAAATGCATTAATATCTATGAAATATTCTCATTTTGATGCTGTATATGGTTTGTCAGTGTAGTTGCTCAGAGCTTTTCAAATAATTCTGACACCCAATGGGACGTTTTTAATACTGTTATGAACTGTTGATCGCTCTTATTTTATACACTTATGTATATGGAGTGATTTTAGGAGGCATCACTCAAGTGCCTGTTTATCACAATGATATTTCTGTATTTGGGTGAAAGTGTGAACAATAATAGTGACAGCAATAGAGATCAGAACATTAACCGTTTTAATACTGTAGGTTAATTATACAATGTGATTCCGTTCTGAATGAAGTCTGTGCCTGTGTTTATGAAAAATACTTTATAACATCTCATATACAGTGGCCTCAAAAAGATGCACAAGCACATTTTTCAATCACAACATTTGATAAGAAGTGTCTGGTCTGAATGCATAAAGCAATGAATCTGATGTTGAAAAAGAAGACCAAAAGCATTCATTTTTTGGTGTTTTTATATATCTGTTGATGAATGTGCATGTGCTTTTGTGTTTTTATTAACTTATAATCTGATAGTTATCAACTTTCAAATGCAAAACCTAAGACTGAAGTGCATTTGGTTTCAAACCGGTTTCAAGCACAAACTTCAGAAATGTGAATGCAGATTCGGACACGATTCATTCAGGTCATCTAAATGGTTCAAGATCTTACTGAAGCACTGCATGCACATGAATGACAGTAACTCAGACTGTGAAATATGAAGGCAATGTGCCATTAACAACCTGTGAAACACAGAAATGTGCCTTATACGCTCTCGTCTCTCTTCCTCAAGAGCAGATCAAACTCGAAATACAAATAAACTACTACAACATCATCATGTCTTATTGCTCTCGGCTTTATTAATCAAACTCAAGTGACGAATACTGAAGCACACTGGCCATAATTCATAATCATGCAGTCAGTCCAGAATAAACATGGCTTTTACCTGAGAATGACGTTAAAAATGACATTTATTAGTTTACAGTTACTGTAAAGGAATAATGCATGTAAAAATGACAGTATTTACTCGTCCTCATGTCACTTCAAACCCGTAAGATGTGTTTTTTTTCCTTGGAATACAAAATAATTATGTTTTTCTGCACAATGACTTTAAAAGTGCATGACTTCAGAAGACTCTGAATATAATGCACAAGTGCTTTCATGCAGATTTAGCCCTTTTTGGTCACTATAAGTCTAAAGAACTTAAAAATTCACCCTTTGTGTTGCATGAATTTTTTTTTACGTCACACAGCTTTGCAAAGACATGAGAGCGAGTAAATAAAGACTATTCCTTTAATCCAAAAGTGTCTTGAGTTTCACATTATGGAGCTTTTGTCCCTTGTGAACATGGAGTAGTCTGAATCTGCAGCAGGACAGAAGAAACGACTGCTGACTCTACTTGAGCTCTCCGCAGTCGGTGACGCTGATTCTCTTGGCGGTTCTTCCCGAGCGAGAGCCGAGCTCCTCCACCTTCCTCACCACATCCATCCCGTCTTTAATGCTGCCGAACACAACGTGCCGCCCATCCAGCCTAGAAAACACACCACAAACAACACACACACACTCAACCTCACACACTCATATCCACATGAAATGAAAGCAGATTCATGAAGATGATTACGTACCACTCTGTTTTGGCTGTGCATATGAAGAACTGGGATCCGTTCGTGTTGGGTCCGGCGTTAGCCATGGACAGAATACCTGAACACACACCAACAAAACATTAGCACTAACTTCATGCCATGTGTCATAGCCAGTGCTCAACTCTGTTTAATGGCTTATGCTGATTTAAATGCATATTTGCATGTGAACACACATACATTATTACATATACAATATTCACATCACAAAAAAGATCATAATAATTATAGCATTTTTATTATAATAATTAGAATTATTATCTAATGCTTTAAAAAAGTACCAAGTAAAAGAAAGCAGCATCATTTTCATATTATTTATATATTATTACTGTATATTATTTTTTAAAGCACATTTTAATATTTATATAACTAGTTTTTTTTCAGTTTAAGTTTTAGTAATTTTGTTGTGCTTTTGGCAAATTGTTATATTTCCATTTCGCTTTATTTTTTATTTCAGTTTAAGTTTTAGTAATTTTGTTGCGATTTATTTTTATTTCAGTTTTGAGCTTAAATTTTTTCAGTATTTTTTAAGTTTTCGTAATTTTGTTGTGCTTTTGTCATTTTTATTAGTTTTTAAATATATATTTCTATTTAGATTTATTTGTATTTCAGTTTTGAGCTTAATTTTAGTTTTTTTCTTCATTTAAGTATTAGTAATTTTGTTGTGTTTTTATAATTTTTATTATTATAATTAAAAAAAAAAATTTATATTTAGCTTTATTTTTTATTTCAATTTTAGTTTTAATATTTATGTAACTAGCTTTTATTTTTAGATTTTTAAGTTTATTTATTTCAATTTAGGTTTTAGTCATTTTGTTGTGCTTTTGTAATTTTTATTAGCATTAAAAAATTCTCACTTTATTTTAATTAAATTATTATACATTATTTTAAGTTTTCAGTTTAAGTTTTAGTAATTTTGTTGTGCTTTTGTCATTTTTATTAGTTTTTTATATATATTTCTATTTAGATTTATTTTTATTTCAGTTTTGAGCTTAATTTTTTTGTGTTTTTTTTCATTTAAGTATTAGTAATTTTGTTGTGCTTTTATCATTTTTTTTATTATATAATTTTAAAATATATTTCTATTTAGCTTTATTTTTATTTCAGTTTAAGTTTTTAGTAATTTTGTTGTGCTTTTGTAATTTTTTTTATTTTTAAAAAAATATTTATATTTAGCTTTGTTTTTTATTTGTTTTAGTTTTAATATTTTTATAACTAGATTTTTTTTTCAGTTTAAGTTTTAGTAATTTTGTTGTGATTTATTTTAGTTTCAAGTTTAAATTTTTCAGTATTTTTTTAGTTTAAGTTTTAGTAATTTTGTTGTGCTTTTGTCATTTTTATTATTATATATTTTTAAAATATTTCTATTTAGCTTTATTTTTTATTTAAATGTAAGTTTTAGTAATTTTGTTGTGCTTTTGTCATTTTTATTATTTAAAAAAATATTTGTATTTAATTTTTTTATTTCAGTTTTAGTTTTAATATTTATGTAACTAGCTTTTATTTTTAGATTTTTAAGTTTATTTATTTAAATTTAAGTTTTAGTAATTTTGTTGTGCTTTTGTCATTTTTATTAGCATTAAAAAAATTCTCACTTTATTTTAATTAAATTATTATACATTATTTTAAGTTTTCAGTTTAAGTAATTTTAGAACTTCAGAATAAACGAAATCAATTTATAATAGTTTTAGTTAACAGTAACAATGGTTGACTTTTAACAGCTCTAATAGCGCCATCTAGAGGCCTTTACACATTCCTACAGAGAAACTGAAAGATCTTTATACAGCGAGAACAAACTCACCGACACTCACCATGACAAGAGCTCATGAAAAACAGTCATAGACTTAAGAATGAAACTCCCAGCAGCTAATGAACAAAGCAAACACTCACGAAGAGCGATCAGGTGTGCTATACCTGGTCCGGTGTGTTTCAGTCTGAAATTCTCATCCGGAAATCTCGGACCGTAGACGGACTTTCCTCCGGTTCCATTGTGGTTTGTAAAATCTCCTCCCTAAGAGAAACAAATGAGTGTAAATCAAGGCAAACACATGAAGAGTACACGTGTTTTTCATTTAATCACACGTGATCACATGCCTAAAGCACTTGAGACTTAAAATGAGCACAAAATGTGTCATCGAATGTGTAATTAGTCCAGCAGGATTAATGCGGTTCTTCTGTAAGGACAGGAAGAGCAAGTCATTAAAGGGATTTTGTAACATTAACACAATGCAACTGGATACAATTACAGCATGTTACACTAGTGTCATACTCAATATACCAAATTAAACATAACACCCAAACACAGATGAGTAACTGTCCGGACTTGAACTACATGAAGCAGCATGTGCTTCAGTGGACCGCGCTTTATCAGATCTGGACGAGGATCTGGTCACCTGACACATGAACTGTGGGATCACTCTGTGGAAGATGGAGCCCTTGTATCCGAATCCATGCTCACCGGTGCACAGAGCTCGGAAGTTCTCTAGAAAACACAAAAGAAAACTCACGGTTGCCCCAAAGTACACATACACTAATATACACACATGCAGAATAGAAAAGACAATACAATATAATGAATATAAAAAGTGTTTTACCTGCTGTTTTGGGCACAACATCCGCATTCAGCTACAGTTCAGGAAGAGAGTTAAAGGTCAATAAATGAGAAACCCTTAAAAACATTGCAAAAATGTGTGTTGAGAAGTAAACACACATAGAAACTAAAGCTACATTTGCTTGAGCATCTAAATAATTTAACTGACAATTTTCAGAAACATGTTACGCACGAAAGTATTATAAAATAAAGTATTTTTGAACAGGTGTTGAGTATTCTACTATGGAGAAGGCTGATCTTATGAATATTTAATTAGTTCTTAAAAGCGTCCACGCACGCTACTTAATATTCACAAGCACTCGAAGAATTCTTTGATTCGCCAACTGTTTAGCGTCTCGCGTTCTTTCAGCCAATCAGAGAAACTAGCTAGACGAACGTCATTAATATTCATAAGCTGAGCCTTCCGCATAGTAGAGTTCGTAATTTCTCTCGCATACACGCACTTCGAAGGTGACTCTACCGAGCGGCTCGTTGTCCGCCGCGATGTCGAAGAACACCACCGGGTTGTTGTTGGCTTGAGCTCCGGTGGCGTACATACGCGCCGCGGTGAACGCCAGCGAGCAGAATTTAACCCTGTTACTGATGAATAACATGCTGATTCCAGTCACCGACTCGCGCCGAGTTACTGACGCACAGGAAGTGCTGAAGCGTCACACGGAAGCGTTCAAGAGCGTTTGGTCACATGTTGATTCATAAACATAAATAATAAATAAATACATGTGAATTAATATAAAACAATTATAAACGTTAAGACCTATTATAATATTATATAATATATAAAAAAACGTTTTAACTTTTAAAATGCAAAAATAATTAAATTTATTTTTAATGTAAAATATAAAATATCAAATTTAATTAAAATATGTAAAATAAACAAATAGTCATAAAATGTAGCTTTTATATAAATATTTATTTATATACTTTTTGGCTACTATGAATACTTTTTAGTAAATAAATATCTATAAAATAAGTTAATCAGCAAAATAAATAATAATATAATATAATAATAATAAACCTGGGGATGCATTAATTGTTAAATCACAAAAAAAAAATACATAACTAAATAAATGCATGTGACTGAATATAAAAAATTATAAATATATAAAACATAAAACAAAATTATGTTAATATTAGTGACCTAATTGAAAAAAGTGCAATGTTAAATGTGAAAATATAATACAAATATAAAACGTAATTATTTTTTTCAGCCAAGTTTATGTTGCCGTCAATGCACACTGAGTCAAAGCAGAATTATGGGTGAATGTCAAAGGTTGCTACTGTATATCATCAAACCCTGAATGATTCAAATGCCTTTTAAAAATCTCTTTAAGTGGACATCAGAAATGAATGAAGACATAAATAGAATAATGCAGTGTTTGTTGTAAGATTACAGTCTGTTTTTCAAACATTCTTCCATTATGACAAAAAATGAAATTCGAACTGAATGTTAGTAAATGATTATCCACTGAAAGCAGTTCATGAACTCACTCAAAGAATCAATAATTCAGCTTAATCAGTCAAAAGGGCATAGAGCTGGAGATTAGAGATGAGTTTATTGAGGTTTAATGTGATTTACAGAGGACAGCGTCTTTATGAGCTGCTCACGGCATTAAACCAGATCTGCAGGACCAAAGAATCGCAATCAAATGCTTTATTTCTGCTTCACACAACAGCCACGATCCCACGAGTCGCCATAAACATTGATCTTCACGGCAACAAACAGAACAATCACTTATTGTGTGAGAGAGATGCGTCTTACTAGAGTATTCAGGAGTTTAAGGCAGAAAACAGAGATTAGACGTGGTCATGCAGCCTCAATGATTTCAGATTCAAGTGATTTAGAATCAGATATTAAGATATTATCTTTCATAAAATAGGGAAGACGTGTGTAATTTTTTGCCAAGTGATATAATCATCAGAACAGTAAAGTATAAGAACAATAAAAAATAATTTACCAAAAAAATACAATTAACATGTCCGTTAGCTTTTACATACAGCTGCCCTTTCTACAAATAAACAAGCCTGTATAGATTTATTTCACATATACGGCTGTTATATTTACTTGTACATATTAACAATATTTCTCATATTAACATGATCTGGATGTGAAACACGTGATGATTAACACAATTACATACCAAATCTAGTGTAGTTTCCACACTACTGTCATGATTATGAGATGAAAATCAAAATGACTATAAAAGTCATAATTATGACATACTCGGTCCTAATTATGAGATTAAAAAGTCAAAATTAGGATATAAAAAAAATCGAAATTATGAAATACCAAGTCATAAAAAAATGATTAAAGATAAAAAAAATTAGATTATAGATCAAAAAATTATGATACAGTCAGTTTTTTGTCTTTTTAATCTAATAATTTCAAATTTTTGTCAATTTCAACTATTATAATTTTGCCATATTTTTGACTTTTATCTCATAAATATGACTGTCATAATTTCAACTTAATGTCATAATTTTGACTTTTTATCTCATAAATTTTATCTTATGACATCATAATTTCAATTTATCTTATAATACACTTGTCATAATTTCGACATTTTATCTCATAATTATGACATAATTTTTTTACTTTTCCTCATAATTATGACTTAGTCATAATTTCAAATTAGTATGTCATAATGTTGACTTTCTATCTCATAATTAGGACGTACTACAATTTCGACTTTTTACCTCAATTATGACAAGTCATAATTTCGATTTTTTTTAATCTCATAAATTACTTGTCATAATTTCAATTTAGTATGTCATCATTTTGACATCTTATCTCATAATTATTACTTATAATTTCAACTTATCTCATACAGTAATTCACTTGTGTCATAATTTTGACATTTTATCTCATAGTTATGGCATCATTATTTTGACTTTTTCCACTCATAATTATGACAAGTCATAATTTCAACATTTTATCTCATAATTACGACTTATGTCATACTTTTGACTTTCATCCCATAATTATGACATCATAATTTCTACTTTTTATCTCATAATTACGACATCATAATTTCTACTTTTTATCTCATAATAGCCTTATGTCATCATTTTATTTTATGACTTAACAAAGCATGTTTTTTTTCTCATGTGGCAGAAATGGTCTTCCTTGGTGAACAGAAGAGATTTCTTTCAAAAAGATTAAGACACCTTACAGACTCCAGACTTTTGTGTAAATATATTTCATTGCCAAAATATAAAATAGTATGCAGTATAGTATTGCATTCTGAACGTAGCCTGTCTTTCACACACTCTTATAATGAATACTCATAGACAGAAGAAACATGGACGACCAATCAAAACAAATGTATTCACAAATATTTACATGAGCTTCTCTAAAATAACACAACTGCATTCTGAACAGTAGTGAACTAGACGGATAATTGCACGGTGGGAGCTTGATTTGTGTTTTCTCCCTTTACGTTTCCAAACAATGTGATTTGTTCTGAATAAGAGCTGTGCTTGGATTGAACAAAGTTTGAGAAACGCTGCTGAATGATGAACAGAAACAGCTTATCAGACGTGGAGGAGGAGTAACATGAACACAGTATGACAGCGGACGGATGTTTGTCCGGTTCTTCGTATCAAAATCAAAGCAAGTAGAAAAACGCTACCACACTGCTTTCGCTCTCGTGTGGTAGAAAAGACTGAATTTAGCTGCTAAGTTCACTTCAGCTCTAAACATTGAGTGATATTCATACGCTCTCTGTCATTCTGACAGATAAAAACAAGGTATCTGGAAGCAGAAATAATGGTTACCGTCGGTGTCCGTCCATCTGTCTGCGCTGGTTTTGAAATCTGTAGTCTGTACAGGAAGAGGAAGTGACGGTAAGTGCATTTCTGTTTGTCAGATATAGAGGTTTGAGGTCTCAGTTATTCTCAAAGAGAGACAGCAGGTCGTCGTTGCTGCTGCTGGGAAGGTCTGGAGGATCCAGGTACGACAGAAGATCGTCTGGATTCATCAGGTCTGGCAGCAGCTGCAGGAGGGACAAGCAACACTATTACCGTATTGGCCCGAATATAAGACGACCCCCCTTTTCCCAGATGTTCCTTTAGGAAAAAGGCTTTTTAAAAACCAACTCTTGTTTTTTCTCAGTAAAACACATTTTGTCTTCAATTATTTTCATATTGCATATTTTTCCTATTTTAATTTTTGTTTTGAAAGTATGGTAAAAACTGGTAAAACGTAGCAACAATCACATTTAAAAAATATACACTTTTTGATATACCATTAAATAAAATAAAAAAACAGGTAGCCCATCTGAATTAGGACATTTAGGCTATCCATCTAATAGTAGCCTACCAAAATCTTATTAACAGTAGAAGTTAAATCTTACTGTAGTCTTCAAATCTGGGTACTGTCTTATGTTTTAAAATCACAAAGGGAGTTTGGTCCCATCAGGCTAACGTGACAGTCACGACTCGTGCAGCTATAAGCTTTTCTTTTTCTTTTGTCTTTACAACACGCATTACATTACGTATTTCATGGCACACTCGTTTTATGCGTATTTGGCGCCACCTATTGTTGTGGGTGTATTATTGACATGTCAAAGTCTAGACCCTGAAGACTAGACCCATTTTTCAGATGTATTTCCAAGAAAAAAACATCGTCTTATATTCGGGTCAATACGGGTCAAGTTTTTACTGATCGTATCATCTGATTAAAAAAGAATTACTAGGGTTTTTTCTACATGATTCAAACAGTTTCTCTCAGGTTACACAAACATACCAAACAGTTATCAAGCTTTTCTGCTGTACATGTAATGATATATATATATAAAATAAAAAACAACAATAATACTTTTATTTGTTTGTTTGCTTTAGTTGTTATTTTTAAGGCAGAATATACAAACATGAAGAAAAAGAAATCAAAGATCATTAAAAATAAGCACAATAAAAGCTACGATAAAAGTGTAATAATAGTGTAAGTAAATAAATAAAAAATGTAATGTAAAATTAGTATTTATACCAAACAGTGTGCATTATTTTATTTTTTTTTATATATTTTGATATTATTATTGTTGTTGTTTGTTTATTCGTTTATTTGTCTGAACTCACATCTAAGGAGGCCTGGCGTATGTCTGCGCTGCTCTGACCCCCACACTGACCCTCCAGGTTGGACGCGGGGTTAAAGGTCACGTCTGGGTGCATCTGGCTGGGCGGCGGTCTGCAGGCATGGGGCGGGCCGCTGTGATGTAACAGCTGCATACTGTGCTGCAGAGGATTGTGGGATTGATTTGTGTTGAGAGGGTGAGGCGTCTGTGACAGAAAACAGAAAATATGCATGAACTGACATTAAGGATACTCAACACTGATATCATCTGATTAATATACACTACCGCTCAAAAGTTTGGGATCAGTAAGACTTGTA